AGTGACCGAATTTCCGGTCACTAAATGATCAAAATGGTCACTAACTAAAATAGTGACCGAAATAAGTAACCAATCCAAATCGATCACTAACAAAAACATTAAAAAATTAACAAAAACATTAAAAAATTAAAAATATTTTTTTATAACTCTCTAATCTCTCTTTAAAAAAATTATTATCGAAAAGATTCAAACCCAGTACCTTAGAGTTAGAGATCGATACTCTAACCACTTAGCTACTAGGAATTTTTAATAATAATTTATAAATAAATTCTATTTATATACAAATAAAAATATATATCTGTGTAAATATATAAATATAAAATATATAAATACAAATATATATATATATATATATATATATATATATATATATATATATATATATATATATATATATATACATATGTTGGATGTGAGGACGCGCTCGAGGGTGAAAGTGTGTCGAGTAGATTTTTAAAATTTGATGTCAAATTTGTGAGCTGGTCTCTTTATATGAGTTTATAATTTAATGACACAATATAATCTTTATAATTTATTTATATAATGATATAAAATAATTTTTTTCTTTATTTATTTTTATTTTATTTTAATTTATTCTTCTTATATTTTTTTCTTCTATTATTTAATTAAAATTCTTATATTAAAATAATTTTTTCAATATTAAAAATAATTAAATATTTATTTTTAAAATTATTTAATTTAACAAATTATTATAAATTAATATAATTATGATTATTAATAGAACAATTTTTTCCTAACATATATTATTATAAATTAATCAAAATCATCTTTTAATAAATATTTTTTCTAGACATAGATTAATTCATAATAATTTGTTAAATTAAATAATTTTAAAAATAAATATTTAATTATTTTTAATAATGAAAAATTATTTTAATATAAGAATTTTAATTAAATAATAGAAGAAAAAAGAAGATAAAAAGAATAAATTAAAATAAAATAAAAATAAATAAAGAAAATAATTATTTTATATCATTATATAAATAAATTATAAAGATTATATTATATCATTAAATTACAAATCCATATAAAGAGACTCAGCTCACAAATTTGACATCAAATTTTGAAAACTCACTCGACACACACTTTCACCCTCTAGCGTGATACTCACATCGAACATATAAATATATAAATATATCAAAATATATAAATATATTTGTATTTATATATTTTATGTTTATATATTTACACGGATATATATTTATTTGTATATAAATATAATTTATTTGTAAATTTTTATTAATAAATTCTAACAGTTTAGTGGTTGGAGTATTAATATCTAACTCTAAGGTACTAGTTTTGAATCTTATTAGTAATAATTTTCTTAATCTAATTAAAAAAAATTGTTAATAAGAGAAATTATATATTTTTGTGGAAATTAGAGCAATTAAATTGTTGTTATGGACTAAAACCCAAAAAGTAAAAAATAAAAAATATAATTAAATAAAAGAAAAACTATATACTTTTGCATTTTTATTTTCAAATATTAGTTTTTTTATGAAATTATTTTCAATTAAAATAATTAAAGTGATATATATATATAATTTTTTTTATTTTTTAATTTTAATTTATTAATATTATCAAATTTTTTTTTCAATTATTTTAAATTATTAAGTAGATTTATATTTAATATATTATTAAAATATTTTTAAAAATTATTTATATAAATAAAAAATAGTCACTAATTTATATATTATTTGTTTAGTGACTGAAATTTTAGTCACTAAATCAGTCACTATATATAAAAAGAGAAATCAGTCACCGATTTAATTACTATTAGTAATTGAATTTTTCAGTCACTAATTTCAATCACTATTAACCATTTTTCTAGTAGTGACCGAATCAGTTGATCGATTTTGTGACCGAATCAATGATCGATTTACGTGATCGAAATTTTAGTCACTAAATCGAGTCACTAAATATAAAACTGAAATCGATCACTGATTCAGCTTACTATCAATGACTCGAATTTTTCTGATTACTAATTTCGGTCACTATTAACCATTTTTCTAGTAATGATTTATTTTAATTATATAAATACAAGTATAATTTACATAAATATTTTTTTATTAATATTTCTTCCCTTACTATACTCTAACTCAACTAACTTTGCATGAAAAGGTTATTGATGTCCATTTTAAAGATTATTTGTAATGGTGATATTTGGTCTATTTCTATAATATTGATTTAATAAAATGAGATTATACCCAGTTATACATTATAATGTTATCGTATTTCTTATTAATATGAAATTTTATCAATCTTTCATTTTGAGGGAGATTTTTTATCACACCTTCTCTAAAAATGTATATTCTAACATTGTTAGAAGTGACTTTTATACCATATTAAAAATGATAAGATATCTAACTTAACTTTATAAAACTTATTTAAAAATATGATAATTATACTAATTTATATATTATAATATTATAGTATTTTTTGTTGACATGAGATTTTATGACACCCTTCACCTCAAAATTGATATTTTCATCACATTTCTTTATTGGAGAAATTTTTTTCGTCAAAAACTAATGTTTGGGATAGATAGGACTAATCAAATTAACTTGAAATAACTTGATCTAAAGAATATTTGAAATGACTTAAATTAGTTTGATTTTATATTTTCTCTCTAATTTTAGGATTTAATTATTTAAAAAATAATAAAAGAACTAATATTTTAGTATAAAAAAAACTAAAATGACTGTTATTTTATAACGAAATAAAACATTGAATTGCAATACATTAATTTTTTTATACAACTATTAACATAAATTATAGAATGAAATATTTGTATTAAAATAAGACAAAATATTGTTTCATTTCTCACATATTATTTTAGAGTTGAAATCATGGTTAAATTATATATTTTCTTTTAATTTATAATAATATATTTACTCTAATCTTGGAACACTATTTGTTGATTATTTTATCCTTAGAAAAGGTTTCACTATGTTAAGGGACAAAATATTTATAAATTACATTTTATTAAGTTTTTAAATGAAGTAAATAAATTTAAATGTAATAGAACAAATCTTCCAAATGAAACTAAAGGGTTGAAGTCATGTTCTTTCTCCAACTCCAAATATAGAGAATGAAAAATAAATGGAACGCAAATTTTGAATTAAAAAAATAGAAAACATAAAGAAGACACAAAAAGGAAAAGAAGAATGTTGATAGAAAATACCAATTAAATATATAATTTTTAACAGTGCATATCATCGTATCATGTTTTGTCTACAACTTAACACACAACATGTCTAACATGATTTTTATTTTACAAATCAAAATGATATACTTATGATATAATTTACTCAGAACATTTAATGTTTTCTAAAATAATAGAATGAATCTTCAAACAACTACCAAAATTACATACACTCGTCGCATTATAAGGTTGCAAAAACAATTCTAAAAAAATATTTCAAATATTAAAAACATCACAAATCCGTCAATATTTAGATACATTAAAATCTCACGTATGCCAAAATCACCTTTTGAGTCTAAATTCGCAGCAGAGTTTTAAATGAGAACAGAAAACACAAAGATAAATTGAAAAAAAATAAAAATAAAAATCAAACACTTGTGTTGACTTCAAATAGAAAAGGTTAATTATATACAGCTATATATGAAGTCAGTTTCAAATCCACCCTTCATTAATTGTTACGTGTACTACATTGAATTTAATTTTCTGTTTGTATGAGTTTTAATTTTTTAATATACTGATATTGATTTATATTTTTTTTCATCAATAATAAAGAGTTAAACATGAACAACATTTATTATTGGATCTCATCATAGGCTCAAACATGCGTGTTAGTTTACGTTACTGACAAAATTTATACATGATTTTCGATGCGATTCTTTAGCTAAGGAAAAAAATATATTATAAAATTTAATTAGGTTGTGGCCCAAAATCAAAATTATTCAACTTGACTCCATATTTTTTAAATATAATTCCTTTTAATATTGCCACCGCTTTACAATGATATGTGGGAAGAATAATTTTATGATTAAGAACCACAAGCTGGGAATAAAACAGAACAACAATAATATTTTTTTTAATTAAAAATATAAAACCTATCATATATATTTGTAATAATATTCTATTAATTAAACTTATTTTCTTGTAAGGTGTGTTTTTGATCATATAATATAACTCATCTTATTGGACATTTATTTGATGTATATATATGCTAACAGAAATAAAAAATATAAGCAGAAAGAAAAAAATGTAAATATATGCGGACAGCACGTACAAGTGCAACAGTCAACAGAATAGGGCCCAAGGAGTTGTATTATATTATGTATTAGTCTATTTAAAGAGACTTGAGTTGCTTAAATAATTAATCATATATAATAAGCAAAGTCTAAACTCTCTTTTTTTTATCCACACATCATTTTCAATCCTTCTCCTACATGCTTCTACTTCCACCCCCCTCACTACCACTACATGCTTCTACTCTACACCACTCTCTCTCTCTCTCTCTGAGTATACAAAAAGGATGAATAGGAAACAAAAAAAAAAAACATTTTTAATTCATATTTCAGGCCTTTTTTAACCCCTCAGCCGCCCAGAATAGCCACCCAAATTCCGATCTTTCTTTCTCTCTCTCTCTCTCTCTCTCTCTCTCTCTCTCTGTCAAAAATATCTATCCATCAAAACACACCATGCCCCTCCATTCACCATTCACCCAGCGAATCCCATAAAACACAACCACAGTACCGTCATCATCATCATCAACAACCACAACAGCAACCTCAAACAAAAACAAAACTCATGAACCCAACTTCAACTTCAACCCCTTTCTTCCTTCCTTCACTATTTCATCTCTCTCACTTTTCCCTTTAACGAAAAAATAAGCCTTCCCATCTTTCTCTCTCTTTCTTTTGCTTGCAATAAGTTACAGCCACCAACCCTAGAGGGTTGAAGCGACAACACAGTACTTTATTCAGCAACAGCAGTAACAGTATTCACCACCATGTCCCTTGAAGACTCTCTAAGATCTCTCTCCCTCGATTACCTCAACCTCCTCATCAACGGCCAGGCTTTCAGCGACGTCACTTTCAGCGTCGAGGGTCGCCTTGTCCACGCGCACCGCTGCATACTCGCCGCCAGAAGCCTCTTCTTCCGGAAATTCTTCTGCGGCCCGGACCCTCCCTCCGGCCTTGACCCCGCCGGCCCGCGGCTCAACTCGCGCTCCGGCATCATCCCAGTCAACTCCGTCGGCTACGAGGTCTTCCTTCTCATGCTCCAGTTCCTCTACAGTGGCCAAGTCTCCATCGTCCCTCAGAAGCATGAGGCCCGTCCCAATTGCGGCGAGCGAGGCTGCTGGCACACGCATTGCACCTCCGCCGTCGATCTCGCCCTCGACACCCTCGCCGCCGCCAGATACTTCGGCGTCGAACAGCTCGCATTGCTTACCCAGGTTTTCTCCTTTTTCTTGTTGTTACGAATATCAGCATAGTATGGTTTCCCCTCACTCTCACTGTTTTTTTTCTCCTTTTCACCCTTTGTGTGTCTAGTCGTATGTTTCGTGGGTCTTGGAATTAGGACAGTTACTGCTGCGGGTCTGCTCTCGTTTTGGGAACTGGGAACGGGTGTTTCCATGTCTCTCTCTTTCTATAATTTTTTTTTTGTTCAGGGTCTGTGATGATATGATATGGATGAGAATTTCGGGTTCTGAATTCGTGCTTCAATCTATCTATCCCATCAGGAGTTATACCACCAGTTCGTTCTATTCTATTATCCTGTGTCACGGCTACACTGCTTTCCTTTCCTTTGTCAGCGACTGAATAGCTGATTTTCTTCTCTCTCTCTCTCTCTCTCTCTCTCTCTCTTTCATTAACTCCACCCTTCATAATTTTCTTCTCCTTCACTTTCTCACTGGTTCCTTCGGTTCCTCCCTCAACAAACACACGCGATAATACTACTTCCATCTTTCAATGTCTACCCCATGACCTTGTTATTACGGATTTGTGAATTTCATTCTTTTGGGAGTGTTATTATTTATGATGTTAGCGTTGGAGTTGGACGTAGCTGATTTCATGTAGTGAAAGTTAAAGAGTTTCTCGAATTGGCGTTCTTTCACCCATGCTCAGGAATTTCTAAATTTAGACGATGATATGCAGTCTTGTCTTGCACACAGTAAGCGCACGAAAACTTTTCCAAAACATCTACTTTCCTCATTTGGGTTTCGACTCGAAAAGAGAACAAACCACCGGAAAAGAAAAAAAAAAGGGTCCTTTAAATTCTCAAGCGCTTCCCAGTTCCCAACCATCCCATCTCATTTGTTCTCTTCCGTTTTACATTTATTATTTATTTCCCACCAAATTACTACTACCACTACTACTATGCTACTATTCCCTTTCATGGAAGTGCTGCTATGTAAAACATTTTTCTTTCTTCCAATGCCAACTCTCTTCTTCTCTTTTCTATTTTCTTGCTTCTTTTTCTTCCTCTCACTAACGCATTTTGCTGTTTTCATTGTCAGAAACAACTTGCGAGCATGGTGGAGAAGGCTTCCATAGAGGATGTAATGAAAGTGCTGTTGGCTTCGAGAAAGCAAGACATGCAGCAACTATGGGCCACTTGTTCTCACTTGGTAGCAAAATCAGGTCTTCCTCCCGAGGTTCTCGCCAAGCACCTCCCCATAGACATTGTGGCCAAAATCGAAGAGCTTCGCTACAAATCCTCGATCGCCCGCCGCTCCTTGGTGCCACACCATCCCCGCCATCACCCCCACCCCGACCACGCTGCCCTCGACCTCGAGGACCAGAAAATCCGGCGAATGAGGCGCGCGCTGGACTCCTCCGATGTGGAACTCGTGAAGCTCATGGTAATGGGGGAGGGTCTCAACCTCGACGAAGCACTGGCCTTACCCTACGCGGTGGAGAATTGCAGCAGAGAAGTGGTGAAGGCATTGCTGGAACTCGGTGCAGCCGACGTCAACTACCCCTCAGGCCCCGCCGGAAAGACGCCACTGCACATTGCCGCGGAGATGGTGTCCCCAGACATGGTGGCGGTCCTGCTGGACCACCACGCGGACCCGAATGTGAGAACCGTTGATGGGGTCACGCCTTTAGATATCCTCAGAACCCTAACCTCGGATTTCCTCTTTAAGGGTGCTGTCCCAGGATTGACCCACATCGAACCCAACAAACTGAGGCTGTGCTTGGAGCTTGTTCAATCAGCAGCTCTTGTCATGTCACGAGAAGAAGGCAATGCCAACAACAACAACGCTCCTAATTCCGCAGCACCCATTTACCCTCCCCCCATGAACGAGGACCACAACAGCAGTAGTAGCAGCGGCAACAACAACAACAACAACATCGGAAACCTCAACTTAGATTCAAGGTTGGTGTATCTGAACCTTGGTGCCACCGCTTCCATGAGTTCCCGGTTGGACGGTGGTGAGGACGAGAGAGAAGCCATGAACACAAACATGTATCATCACCACTCTCATGACTTCTAGTATCTTCTGCCTCAGCAGTTTCCACATACTGGTATATGATTTGAAGTTATTTCAATTTGGCACGGACAATGGAGGATGGAGAATTTTAAAGAGGACGAAGGGGGGAGAGTTGTTGATGAAAGGTGGTTGATGAATATGGAGGGACCTTATTGGATGGAGCATAAAAGAGTCTTCTTCTTTTGTGAGTTGAAATAGACTGGTATTCACTGTCCTTCTGATTTATCTGTCTTGGCTCTCTGCTATTTTGTTGGGTTTTTTTTTTTTTTTTTTTTTTTTTAGTTTTTGGGGTTTAGGCCTTTCAAATGGTCACCATTTGAAGTGCGGTTTCATGGGAGATTGGGATAAGAGACAGGGAGAATCTAATGGGTTCAATTTATTTTTTGTTTTTATTTTTCTGTGAAACGAAAGGGTGCATGGAGGAGACGCAGGTCAATCTTTTCAAATCCTCCTTCACCTGTCAACTCCTTAATTTGTATTTACTGATCCGTAGCTAATATCACGGCCTATTTATTGTGATCGCTTTACAATTTCAGATTATCTTGTCCCACCCCGCACTTTCTCAACCCACCCCTCAATTATTTCTTCACACTATCTTTTGCTTCTTCTTCCTGTGCTGTGGGGGTTTCTTTCTTTTCTTTATCATATTTTCATTTTTCAGAGCTTTATAATTTGTTTCAGTTTCGCTTCCTTCATACATATCTACGTATATTTTTTTATTAATATATATTTTCTAGTTAGTTAAGAGATCATACATGGCTGTCCCTTCCCTTCTGCTCCCACCTAATATATTATGTTCTTTTCCTTCTAGCATTTTGTAGTCCTTTGGAGCGATCCATTGGCTAGTGTTTTGGGGTTAATTATTCTAATCAAAATCATGTGGCTGTGGAGAAATTGATTTGTTGTCTTGCATGAATGCAACAATGAGTGTGACCACACATGTCAAGTTAAAAAATTGGCACTATCACCTTCCATGTAATCCTCTTCTTGTCCCCCTTGCCTTTTTTAGCTCTCTTTAGACAAAACAAAATATTAAAACTTACAGCTAAAACCCTATTATATTACTAATCATTTCTTTAATTATTACTTTTTCTTCTGTCTAAATTCATCGGATGTTGGTTGCCGAAGATTCTTGGAGATTAGGATTACTCTATAATTTTATGCTTCAATATTCAGGGTCTTAACTGCATCTTATCATTCTCCCAGATCAAGCTTAATAATATTCACAAAGTAAACCTCACCATGTCTGATATCATTCTGTATTTAAACCTATATATAATCACCTAACAGAATGGATATTGTGTATGTGTAGGGAAGATGCATTCACATCAGATCTAAGCTTTCTGTGTACAAGTAACTTTTCACAAATGATTACATTTTATCCCTCTAGCTGTTTAGATTTCACAAATTTATTTATTTTTTGTCAAACTATTTGATTCTAACTCGTTATATATTATTTCAAATATTAGTAAATATTTTCTCTCAAACTATGGGTACATTTAGATAAACAGCTTAATCAAGGTTTTATACGATCATTAATTTTTGAAAACTGATACCTTATTTTCTAAAATGTTTTTGAAGTTGTTGAAAACAAGTGACTTATTTTTTCAAAATAAAATGACCCAAGACTCTATAATTTTGTTTTTTTTAGAGGTAGAGAATGCTTGGTTAAACAACTTAATTAAGAGTTTATTAAATAATTTTCTATCATATATGTGTTATGTATAAGTTGTTTTTACAATGAGAGAAAAAAACATGGATAATTTGTTTGTACGTAAGTTGTAAACTGTTTCATTAGTTATGTTAGAAATTTATGGAGACATCATAAACTATTTCTATAAACGCATCTAAATGTTTATGTGTATGTTAGATAAGTTACGTTAAAATAAATTGTAAATGAGTTCTTCCAAACCCTCCCTTGCTTGAATAATATCTTATATGTTCTTATCACATTAAAGTTTATTATATGAATTCAAAAAATAAATACAATTCAAATGATTTCCAGAATCATATTTACCAAAAAAAGAAGAAGAAAATAAACTAAAACAAGGTGTACTGTCTCCTATATTGCATAAATCTCTAAATTATCTAAAAAATAATGTAAATGAATAGTAGGTGTACTATCACATTATTAAAGGATTACTTCAATAACATTTATTTTTATTTTGTACAATTTGTTTATATTTATAGAGGTTAGATGAGAAATAAAAAATATATATTTTTTCCCACATAAGTATACATAGTAATCAACACTAACTTTATGCAAAACCAATATCAACCGTTCACATATTAATTAGTTATATGATTAAATTTAACTTGTGCCATTTATCTCATGCCACTAACAAAGCATCACATTGGACTAATATTTTCCCATAAATTAGAACATTAATTAAAATGATTTTCATGTTAGGAATAATAGAAGTCTAATAATAATGCACTTACAGCAGTTAACATAAGATGGTAGGAATAATTCCAAAATATGCAGCTTGTTGGGTATTCAATGCATCTTCTGCCAAGAGCTAGATAGTAATATATATATATATATATATATATATATATATATATATATATATATATCTTAAATTAAAGTACGAAAAATCTACTTAAGTATTAATCTGTTCCAACACTCAAAATACCCAATCAAAAAAATAAAGTGTTGGGAAGAAATATGAAACAAAAAAGAAATCAATTATTTATGCTGCAAATTGAACTAGTTCCTATTCTTCTCACCGAATCCTCATATTCTTAGAAGGATAGATCAATGGTTAATTCACAGTTTAAGAATGAGTTGAATTTCACGTAGTTAAAAAATAAGAAAGTTAAACAACATTTCATCTGCCCAAACAAGTTTCTGTCCTCATTTTTCCTTAACTCCGGTTACATTGGAATAAAATTCCCACAAAATGTTTATTTTCTTTAATGAGAAATCATATATGAAATTTCAAAGGAGAAGGGTATTAGACATAACGTATTATTTTATTACCCTCCATGATTTATATTCTAGTGATGTATACTTTTATGAAACCCTATTAGTTTCTATCTCTCTTTGGTGACTACACATTATACTTTATATGCACATAAGAATATATAGAATGTTTTTAATGTTTCATTGAGACATTAGTATATATTATACGCTAATATAGCTTATTGGAGAAGGTAAATAGATGTTTCTATAACAACAAAACATAATTTTGAGATGAGCATATATGACAAAAAATAAAACATAAATATGATAAGCTTTTACTTATTTTGCCCATGAAAAGTAAGAAGGAAGTGACAACTCGTTATGATACTGTGCTATGTCTGAGTTTTAGCTAGTGGTGGTTTACCTGCAGAAGCCCAAATATTTTGCTGGCTGATATCCAAAAGGTAAAGAAATTAACTCCTTTGTCTAGTTCTCTTGAGGTGGGGGATAATTTGGAGAACTAACCTTTGTGAAGATGATGGAACTTATCAATGGTAAAGGGATTCTACTATTTCTACCATCCTTCCTCCTTCTAAAATGCCTGTCTTTTTCACTCTCTTTTTATTATTCATATATATTCTGCATTATTTACATTCATTTCTTCTTCCTCACAAAATATATATATATATATATATATATATATATATATATATATATATATATATATATATATATATACTTGATTGGAAATTTGACCCTTCTTCCATGAAAGTGACTTCATCTTAGCTAAAAATTCAACAAAGTCATGATTATTTCCTATCGACATTACACAAGTACATTTTTATTTGATGATTCAGGATATACTTATTATTACAAAATGCTATACAAATTATATGGAAAATTAATATTGGTGATTAATTAATTAATTACTATTTTCAACTTCATTTGTCTCATAACCCATTATTACTTACTATAGGTTTCTTTCACTATTTATTTTTTGCTTTTCAATCAGAGCATCTACAATCAGAATACCTACAATTGTACGTTGCCGTTAAGTTCTCTCTTCTTTTTCTTTATTCAAAATTCTTCACCATAATTTATCATCCAAAAGTATTTAACAAGAAAAATATCTTAATAACATATTCTCCATCATATTCTTTTGAGCATATTTATTATTTATTTCAAAGTGAAAAACAGTAATTAAAACTTATTAGATAGATAGTAAGCAAGATATACCAAAATTTCTGATTCTTAGTAAAGTTCAAATCAACAATAACATCTATCACTAACATTTTACAGTTATGAAACTTAGTTTCCATGTCTATGGGTTGATTGTTATGTAGTGAAGCAGACAATAACAATGATGACCTAAAATATATGTTTATGGCTGCATATCTAGATTGATATTTCTAGGTCTATGCTTAAATAACAGGTTGTCCTGGATGGTCACCGAAAGTAGAAACACAATTCGAAAGCATATAATCAATATATATCTTCTTCTTATATACCCAATTTTTCTAGGTTATTCTCCTTCTTCCCCAGGGTGCCCTTTTATTCCCTTCAAAGCAAAAGATGTGGTTTACCCACTTCCACACATCTCTTTCAAAAAAAAAGAAGAAAAAAAATGTAACAATTTTAATTGGGTTTCATCAGTGCTGATCTGTAAATGCAACATATATGTCCTTGCATCATAATTATCGTTGGTAATCTATATATTATCGTGTTCGTGTTAGCTTGGCTTAAATTAATTAGTGGTGTCCACTACTTTTCTTTTCCTCCAACAACATATCTTCAAAATTATTTATTTAAAGGGTTTGTCTGCCAGACATCAAAATGTGATGTATTTGTTAGTCACTCACTGTATTTGTCATAAAGAGGTTACAATGTTTTTATATAATTCGTTCTTATTATTTTTTTATTATATCTGTAAACTTTGATTAGAAAAAGTAAAAAACTAACTTTTCTGAAAAGCTTTTTATTTTTTATTCATAATTAAGTCAAAGAAATTTGATTTCATGAAATGCAATGAATAGTTGGAATACAAATGTATCCATATAAAGGATGTAACCAGATTAGGAATAGTTATAGTACCTGTTTG